GATCAGTATATGCTATTTTATTATGCCTCTTCCTAAAACTTACCTGCCAGGTCTTTATTGTCCCAAAAACACTTGAAAGATTTTCAGCATTATTCACAAAATTGTTTCATCCTAAAGCAGATGGCACAAATACAATTGGCAAAATGTATAAAGAACTGAGAGATAAAATTGAATTTAGATGAGCCCCCTTTGAGTTTATTGGATAAAATCTAACAGATGAAGGCCACAAATATAATAACTAATGTCATTTGGTTAGCACTCATCATGGTTCTTCATGTTTTATCAGTTCTTACACAATTATTGTCTTCTTCAACTCATAACTAGAGATTAGGTTGACTTGCATTGATTGCTGCTACTAATGCATTTAAACCAATTTCAGGTTTTGGTTTTAGGTAGAGAAAGATCACCAGTAAACTTACTGGTCCTTATCTGAGACAGAATGCTACATAAGCTATGGCTAGTATTCAATGTTTGTTATTGAAGTGAATATTATGATGAAGTCAGCATGTTCTTTACTGTAATTCCCATTGATCCATCCTATTACAAATGAACTTTGCATTGTTACAATGCCTTATCTGTATATACTACTTCCGGTCCTAATTATAAGAGCTAATTGACTAATTTGAAGAGATTAAAAAAGTAAGTTGAGTTAGTTATTTGTCCTAAATAGGTGTTGTCTTTCCTAAAATATCCTTGCTAATCAAGTGTATTGGTTAGAACTATCATTATTAAATGGACTACTTTGAAAAAAATATATATATAAATATGAAAGACAAAATGGATTGGGGTATTATGTTTAGGACCAAAATAAAAGTTAAACAAAGTCTTATATTAAGGACCGGAGATAGTATATACTTTATCCCACTTGTTTTAATATAATAGAGACATCAGGCCTCTGTTTTTGCTGATCATGATGTTCATATTCTTAGTTTTATATATTGTTAATTAGAAGCAGTGATATTGTATTTCACACAATAGATCTTAGTTTTATTTTGATTTTAGCATCAGTTGTGTTTCTTTGGTTCAATCTTATTACCCTTCGTTTGTATATAAAATAAAATATATCTCAATGCATTTTGAAATGGCGCCACATATGGAGTGTGGCATTCCTTTTCATCTTCTCTTTCTCGTCTCTGGACATCTGCAACAAGTGAAATACTATTAAATAAGTAAAAAGTTATTTTACAAGTAAAATACTTTAACAATCCCTATCTATATTACTTAAATTACAAAAATCAGCCTTTTATTTTGAAAATATAACCTTCTTAAAATTAAAATGTATGTTACATAAATCTTCTTTATATATTTGATATTCTGTTTTCATTTATTTAAATAAATTTGACTTTTGAACTCTTATGTTGATTAAAATAATCTTCTTTGACATAATAATTATTGAAATTTAAAATTTTTAAACATGTTTTTTGTTACAAATATTTATAAACACATTTAACCACGTATATATTTATTATAAGAATTAATTGAATTTTCAATCAAATTTTTTACGTCTATGTTAAGTAAATTATTTGATGTTCTGTCTCAGTATGATAAAAACTTAAATAAATAATTATTTAAAAAAAGAAAAATTAAGAAAAAGGAAAAGAAAACTCTTAAATTATATTATTAGAAAAATCTTAATTTTTTTTATTTCTATGTTATTTAAAATTGTCTAGCCAAGTTGTAACCATAAAAAACATCAAGCAAAAGAATCGCTCATTGCTTGCTAGATTGATGTGCATATATAATTCAATTTAATTACTTTTTTATCCTAACAATAAAGAATTAATTTGCCAACTTTTCTTGTTTATTATGAATTAGTTGGGGGATGAGTCAATTTCTTGTCTTTAGCATTGTTTTCGTTGAAGATGGAGAACTAAACCTCACGGGAAGATATAATTTAAAAAAATTAAAAAGGATTATATAAAAGTTCGATACAAAAACACGGGTCCGGTACAATAATTAGAAAAGAGAAGTCTTCCATACAACTATGATGTTATAATACTCCTCTTTTTTTAAACATAAAACCCATTTTGTAATATAATTATGTTTAGGACAATAAAATATAATCCAAAGCCCTATTCTCTGTTTTGTCAAGGTTTAGCATAAAGTTAGAAATTACAGAAACTACATTAAAAATAAGGAAAAATAACATAAAAAGAATTTGAAAATTATAATATTTTAATTCATGTAACGAAGACTTCAAAATCTCAGGAAAAGAAGTAATATCTAATATGGTATTTTGTAAATATAGTTTAATAACAAAAATGTCCTTATATCAAAAAGTTTATTAATAAGTTGTAAATTGACAACGACAAGTATTAAATATCAAATAACAAAAAATATATTAGTAATGACAAATTATTTATTAATAAGTTATGAACTAATAATGACAAGTGTTGAACAGTAAATAATAAGAAATATATTGATAGTGACAAGTTTGATATTTTTTTAAAATATAATACAAGGACATTTTAGTTATTTGATTGCATTTATCAAATACCAGATTAAGCATAATTTTTCTCTAAAATTTTGAAGTTTTAAGTATCTGAATTGAAATATTATAATTTCTAATTTTATTATGTCATTTTTCCACTTAAAATAAATGGAAGATGAAAGGAAAGCTCAATATTACAAGGTAAAGTAAAACTCACCGAAAGGAAGAAATTAAATTAAATATATTAATAATAATTAATTGACCCAATGAAAGAAAGACCTACCTAATGCAAGAAGTCTCCGATTTACGCCAAAAGGAAAATATCAGGGAATAATCATATGCAGCCAATCGCAAGTAGAGTTTAGACACTTCACTTATATTATATCGTACTCCTCTGGTCCTATTTATAAGGTAATTTCAACGTGTTTTATACATACTAAAAAAATCTTAAACTTTATTAACTCTTATTTAAAATTTAATAACTTTACAACTTTATCCATACTTAATATAAATTATACCTCATGTAAATAAAAACAACACAATAATAAATAAGGAGTAAAATTGTACATTCATATAAAAAATTTCTCTCAGTGCTTTATAAAGAGGAGCAAAAAATATCTTCTCTTTCTTCTATGTAAATAGGTATGTAAATAGGACCAGAGGAGCACATCTACACCTTTTTTCTCTGTTTTCGTCATCTCATATTCTGATTAGGTGCGGATTGTCATATCTCATCTGGATGTTAAGATTCGATTTCTTTTTAATTTGTTTAAAATAATTATTTTAATATATATAAAATCTAAAATTAAGATAATTTTTTAACTATTATTCTTCAAAAAATAATTTTTTCTATTCAAAAATAATTAATTAAAAATTTTAAATATAAACTGTATAATTCAGATACAAATACTTATCAAAATTATGAGTACCGAAACTCATCCGTGTAACAAGGAGAGGCATGGTGCTGGTTAAAAAGAAGAGAAAATTACAATCAAGTTCTATATAAGAGAAATAATTATTAAAAGGTCCTAATAACAAACTCAACAGCTTATAATAACAAGTTCTATAATGAGAATGACAACTTCTGGGACTTATTTTTTAATTGTTTTCATTGTTTAGAACCTTATTGTAATTCTCCCTTAAAAAAACAAGGAGGGGCATGGGATGCGGAAATGCGCGTTATTTGGCATGAGTCCCATTCTTCTCACATTTCGGTCAAGTCAACCTGAGATGACGTAAAGACTGTAAACCTTCAAATTCTTCCCTTGATATACTAAAGGCTTATTTATTGGGAAAATTGTAGAAAAATATTATTGAACTTGAATTTGAAAATTTCCATACTGTCATAATAATAAATAAAATTTTAATTTAGATATAATTGATCAAATTGAAATTTTAAAATTCACTGAAATGATTATATTATTTTTATTTTTTTAAAAAAATCATCAAACATACTCATCAGCCTCTGACAACCGGTTGGCCAATGAGTATGCTTGATGGTTTTTTTAAAAGGTAATATGATCATTTTTATTGAACCCATTTTTAATTTTAGTATGAACCAAACACCTGCTTAGCTGAAAATTTTCCATCCCCTTCTTTTTAATTCTTTTCCATTCTAATATATTCTTTGAACCAGACCCTTACCAATGACCTTAAAGATCGACAAAATTATTAGGCTGTGTTGGAAAAATAATTTGTTTGAAAGATTAGAGAGAAAATGAATGGTAAAGATTGTTTCCTTTTCCTCTTCTTCAGTTTTTTTTTTCACAAAGAAATTTAATATTTACCCTTAAATTAAGAAAAATAGATAATTCAAACTCCCCTCCTAATTAAATTTATCTGGGATTCTCAAAATCAAAGATAGCCAAATTTTTATGACTAATTTGCGGTTATAAACTCTGAATTCCGAAAAAAATCATGCTCCAAATAAATGTAATACGCAGAAGAAAACATCCATCCATTGAAATAAATACGGAGCGACCACTTCTTGTTCGTCTTTAATGTATTTATTCTTCCATATTAAATTAAAATCAATTTTTATATGATATGAAAAATCAATTACAGGAATTATTCTTAAGAAAAATTGTAGATGTGTCATAATATTTTTCAACATCAACAAGATTTATTGAAATCTAAAAGACAAAATGAGACTCATTCGATCCTTAATATAAGACATAGTTAACTAATTTAATTAGATTGAGAAAATTAGCTATGTTAGTTAATTATAAGAAATATGAAATATTTTTTTTAAAATGCCATAATTATTTTTCTTAATATCTCCTCTCCCTCTTCTATTTGATTATGGTTGAGGGAGTACACATAGGGGTAATTTAGGAAAAATTAATAAATATGAGAAATAGGTCTTATATTTAGAACTAAAATCAACTCAATAATTAGGTCTTATATTAAAAACCGAAAGAGTATTAAGAAGGTTTATAAGTTACAATATGATAGAGAGCAGATAAAATGCTGGAGAAAATGAACAAAGGAAGGTAAAGAAACAACATTAATATAGAAATTAGAGAGAGACTGTGAAAAGGATAAAATGCCCTGCCAAATTATACCAGTCGAAGGAAAAGAGAAGTTATCTATGGACAGCGGATGAGCGTCAACATGTTGAGAAACCTCGTAGAGCCAACAGCATATACGTCATTCGATTCAGGACTAGTAAGCTCATTGGTGTCTGTCTTTCTCTGTCTAAAACCAAAACCTGAAATTGGTTTTAACGCATCAGTATCAGCAATCATTCAAATGCAATAATGTAAGTGAATCTAATATCTAGTTATAAGTTGAGTGAGAACTGATAAAACGTGAAGAACCAAGATGAGTGCTTACATCTAATGACACTAGTTATTGTATTTCTAGCCTTCCTCTGTTAGATCTTATCCAGTAAACTCAAGGGAGCTCATCTAAACTCAATTTCAAAACCAATGTATTGTCTCATACTTTTTATATTCTGCCAATTGTATTATTTGTGCCATTTGCTTTAGGAGGAAACAATTTTGTTGATCATGCCTAAAAGTTCTCGATTGCTTCTGGGGCAATGAGGACTTGGTAGGTTTTAGGAATAGGCATCAGACAACAGGAATTAATAATTATCATCGTGATAATTTAACCGAGAAATTTTAGCTAGAAGACTGCAGTTTTGGATCTCAAACTTTGAAAATTTATTAAGAGATAAAGGATGTTGTCATATATATTACAATACCACGTACTTTGCATCATCTGGAATGAACTGCATCCATGAATCATCTGATTTGAATTCATCTTCTAAGCATAAAGATGAAGTTTCAGAAGGCATGGTTTCGCATTCTCCGATTATAGCTTGGGAGGTTTCACCCTGTAACAAACCATATTGCATGCGTTCTTCAGCTTCAGAGCTAATTGTGTTTTCGTTTAAAACATGACGGTTATGATGAGTATATCTTGCAAAGTGATCAAATATCAATTCATTCAAACTCGAAAGAGATTTAATTTCGTGGTTTATCATTAATTTCTCTCTACTGCTAAAACTTAAGAGTAATAACAATACCAGTAGAAAATATTATGGAAGTGGCTGTAGATAGAAGGCAACTTACACCATCATTGAGTCAATCCAAATCCTCTTCGCGAATGAAACGCCATCCACACTTAATTGGCTCTGCATCATCCAGTTCAGATGGAGGCCGCCCCCAATCAGTACAAAATTTCAAGCGAATCTGATTGTAAAAATTCCTTGATATTTCATCTCTGTTTTCCTCATTAATTTTCCAAAACATGATCCACAGGTGAGAAGATTTTATTTCTTTCTCGTGTTCACGCGTCCTTGCTGGGGGGGATACATGCTTACCATCGGAATCTTTGAAATCAAACCCCCAGCAAGGCAAGCAAATCTTATGATCAATTACAGTGCATAACCCAATTCCCAACCATTCACCTTCAGGGATATCTATGGCCATAGAAGCTGCATGTTTCTCATTCAGAGGAAGATGATTCTGATACTCAAACCATGGTGGTATTTCAATCCCTGGAATAGTCAATGAAAAAGTTGTAATTTTCCCCAATCCTTGAGCATGTTGGCCATCCTAAAACCAAGAAATATATCTTGTGACAAATTGCACATAGTTAACAACAAAAGAGATGAATGGATTTGAGGATGCAAAATATAAAGACAAATTACATACCTGTTCCATTGAATCAAAGAGACATAACAATTTCTTGCCTGACAAAGTCCTCAACGAACCACATTCTCCTGCATCCATTAGATTTAAACCTGGCGAAGGCTGTGGCAAAAGTTCAAGCTTTGGGCAGGAATTTAAATAAATAGACTGTAGATTCATAAGATTAGAAATACAGCCATCAGGCAGATTCACAAGCTCCTTTCCACTCAAATGTAATTTCTACAATGATGATAAGCCACTGAGGTCATTAGGAATGATTCCATCAACAATATTGCAGTAGCTCAAATCTAATTCTGTCAGTGATTCAATATTGAAGATGGAAGCGGGCAATGTTAAAGCCTTTAGGAAATGAATGCCTCTTAAACATTTGGTTCCACGGAAGTGACAAGATGCTTGAGTTGAAAGTTGGCTATTTGCATCCATGAAATGCTAGTGTCTTTAACTTTTTCAAATGACAAATAGAACAAGGTACTTCTTTGATAACTGTTCCACTCGCATCAAGCTTTTCCAAGGCTTCATTTTCATTAAGGTTTTCTGGTAATTCAAAAAACTTTGAGCAGCCTGAGATATCGAGAACTTTCAGACACTTCAATTTATGAATGTCATGAGAAAGGCCAACAAGATTTTTGCAACCCGTTAAATCCAAAGTTTTGAGACTAGTTAGGGATCCAAGTGACTCAAGAAGTTTGGCTATACTTGTCTCTTTGACATCACGTGTTGTGAGATTTTCCATGTTTTCTCCAAATTCCGAAAGATTTCTTAGTTTAATGCATCCACAGAGAACAAATTTTTCCAGGGAATTCATTTCCAATTTTTTTTTGGGAAGGAATTTAAGATTCAAACAACCTTTCAAATTTACTTCAACAAGATAGTGAAGCTGCCCAAGTGAAGAATGAATTTCAACAAGTGATGTGCAGCCTTCAAGAACTAATCTTTTTAAATTTTAAAATGCAACAAAATTTGGAGTTTGAAGGAGCTCTTTGGAGTGGCTTAAGTCCAGAATCTTCAGTTTCTTCATAGACTATCCAAATAAAAGACTGGAGAAATCAGTCACCAAAAACTTTAGCTTCATCATTGAGACATGTGAGAATGCATAAAAAGTATCTAACCTGTCTATTATCATTAGAAAGATGCTTTATTTTGCTATTGTGCATTTCGAGATATACGAGTTGATCCATTTGCTCGTAAGAAGGAAGAGCTTTAATAGGATATCCATACCAATGAAGAACTTTCAATGCCCCCGGAAGACATTTGAGGTGTTAGGGAAGGTCAAGATTGCATGATATGATAAGTAATCTAAGCCAAAACATTTTTAAGAAGGCTTCAGGATTCCAAAATACTTCATCTTTCTTGAAGCTATGGGGCAAAACCACGCCTTCCATTGTGTTAGTTCCCTAGTTACAAACATTATAGATACCAAGATCTCATAAGAAAATGTGTGCAAATAAGAAATATAAAAATGGCATTCACAGAAAAACAAGATTAGTATTTGTAGAAAATTAATTTCTTATCAGATCTCTTTCTAGTAGTCGGTCAATGTCAGAAGGAATCCACAATCTGTTGTGTCTTCCAACATCAACAGGAAATTCCTCATTAACAATAAGCCTACCCATGTCTTGAATCAGATCATGCATCTCTATATAGGTAGTATTGCCAATCTCAGTTTCAGCAAGCAAAGATTTTCCCTTAAGGGTCTGCAAAGTAGTTCTTATGGGTAATCCACAACTTTCCAATATTTGACTTATTTCATCCTTGCCCCACATATTAAAGAAACAGGCAATATCTAAAAATATTACCTTTTCTATATAATTCAGTTCATAGTAGCTTATTCTAAGTTTCTTAAAAATGTCATTATTCGAATCTTGCATCAACACTTGCAAAGCATAATCCCACTCTGTTAAGCTATCTTTGCCACAAAAGAAGGAACCCAAAACATAGAGAGCCAAAGGAAGACCTCTTGTATAATCAATTGCTAATTGAGCCAACACCTCCCATTGTCGTTCATTAGGGATGCCTCTTCCTCTAAATGCTTTTTGACAAAAGAGTTGAAAAGATTCATCATCGTCCATTGGTTGAACCTCATGTATTTCATCTACCAAACCATACCCGTCCTCCAGCTAAATTCTCTAGTTGGCTTATATGATTTACATCGTCAAGGATAAGCATAACCTTCCTATTGCGCAACAGGTATCCTAATGTATTCTTTCCTTCGTCCATGTTTTCAATTTTGAAGTTTTTTATCTTGAGATGTGAAAGCAGTTTGTTCTGTAAGTGAACTAGGCCATTTTTTCTTTCAGAAAGCTCCCTGACATTGGCAAGAAAGCAATGGAAGTCAAATTGGTGACGGAACCTCTCATAGATCGCTCTAGCAAGAGTCGTCTTGCCCACACCACCCATTCCCCATATTCCTATCGACCGGACACCCTCCAATCCTATACCTAAGCGTTTAAGCATTTTGTCTACTCTCCACTCAATTCCAATTAGTGAGTCACTTTCACTGACAGGTGGCAGTTCAGAACGAAGTCGGTCCCATAAATGTTCAACCACATTATCAACAAGTTCTGCTTCGTACCTACAAAAACAATTTTTCCCTCACATGATCATATTATATGATTGATTTTATTGTGTAGGGATGACAAAAAAATAATACATTTTGACACATACTCTTCTAGTCTTATTTATAGGGTAGAGAGAAAATTTTTTTATATGAATATACAATTTTACCTTTCATTTATCATGGTGTTGACTTTATTTTCATGAGGTATAATGTATATTAAATAACAATAACGTTAGAAAGTTGTTAAATTTTAAATGAGAGTTAATAAAGTTTAAAAAAAATTTTTGATCTACATAAAATATGTTAAAAAACTACTTATAAATAAGACTAAAGGAGTATGATATAAATTTCACTATCCATCACTTATGAATGGTGCAGCAGGTTATAAATTTTTTTTTATTACATTGATCTTAGTTGCAGATATAAAAATTTTAGTCTGGAGAAAAATTTTAGAGGCACAAAGTTTAATTGCAAGGATAAAACTTTCACTAACGTGTGTAATTACAATAAATATTTTAACTGACAACAAAATTTGCAGTTTGCTGGAGATTGAGAAACCATAACTCCTACGTAATTAAATTAAGAAAAAGTTAATTTGGAAGTCTTTATAATTTTTCTCAGTTTTGAACTAGATCCCTGATATTTTTTTTGCCCCCTTTCTATGAAGCCGATTAACTTTGTACTATTAAGTAAGTTAATCATTTTGTTAAATAAGATCAGCAACCACTAAAATTTTCTGTTAAAAGTACTGTAGGGTGTTCTGAAACAAGCACTTTCTCCGCCTCGAACATCTTTTACCTAAGCATTTAGTGGCGTAGAAAGTGCTTGTTTTGGAATGCCTTTTAACATGCTAATAGAAAATTTTAATGGTGGTTGATCTTATTTAACAGAACGACTAACTTACTTAACAATACAAAGTTAAAGGCCATTATAAAAGGGGGGAAAAAGATTAGGGATCCAATTTAAAACTGAGAAAAATTATAAGTGCCTCCAAATTAATTTTCCCTCAAATTAATAAGAAAATAATGAAACAAAAAATAACAGAAGAAAATGAGAAAAAAATTGGAGTCCAATGCAAACGGAACGTGTCGAACAGAATACTAGTACTTAAAACTCATGGCTTCCAACAAGATTACTAGCTACATGTTAGGCTTTTGTCTTTAAAGTTTTTTATAATAAATATTTTCAATTTATAACCATGAAATGAACTTTTTCTTTTGAAAATATGGCATGAATCATTTCTTGAAAAAACAGATAGATAATAAAAAGATTTATTTGTTTGATAGTATGAAGTAATTATTAAATTTTTATCTTGGATGCAATTATGCAGTGTTCAATGAATTGATACAAATATTATATACAAGTTATTCAACAAAAAAGACAAAACTTACCCATATTGACCGGAAGCAAGACCAGCTAAATGAGCCACTTCTGTTAGAGAATCCCTCCATGTTTGCACCTTGGGTTGGTCTCGCTGAAACTTGTCTTCAAGTCTGGTGAAAGCTTGACCAAAGTTTCCTCTCTGATGTCTTACATCAGATGGATAAACATAATAAAAGATGGGGAAAACTATTTGACCTAGTTTATTTCTCGAGGCAAGAATATGTTCAAGCTCATCTAAACACCATGAAGAAGAGGCATAATTTTTGGAGAGAATAACAATTGCTGAACGAGATTCATCAATTGCTTGCAGCAGTTCTTGTGAGATAATTTCTCCTCTTCTAAGTCCTGTGTCATATTTAAAAACTCCTATTTAACTGACGATACAAGTATTCTGTGAAGCCTACACGAGTGTCTTCACCTCTAAAACTCAAAAGGACATCATATCTACAGGTTCTTCGAGTTAAATTGGAATTAGAAGAACTTGAGGAAGATGCTTCTTGGTCTGTTGCCATAAATGTTGGAGCAAACTTATGCAGTATAATTTGATGACTTAGTGATATCACGATCGACCTACAACAACCAAATCATATCATTAGCCCAAAAGGAAAACAAATCAAATAGAGATGATCAGATAATACATAAAAAAGGGAAACTAATATACTGATCCGGGCTTACAGCTATAAGAGAAGTGTCTAAACTCTTTTTAGATAACAACCAGGAATCCCACTCAACTGTCCCCCTCCTCAACCAACAATCGCTCCAAGTCAGGGCGAGCTTGAACGACGAAGTGGAACCCAGGCCCCATAAAAAGACCTTCCTTGCCATCCAGTCAGCAGCGAGATTCGACCAACTTTTGGTGAGCTTTTCCTTCTATTTTTACTGACCTTCCCTTCACCTCTCATTTATTTTGTTACCGAGGACTTTGCTTGCTTATTTAATTAATTAACCTTTGTCCTTAAATAAGCAATTGTCGCTTTCCTTCCTGTAATTTTCCTTGGCACATTCACTCATTTGTCCTTATCTTGCAAGTTGCAAATCTATTTTTTTAATTTATTGTCATGATTAGGGCTGTTCATAGGATTCGTTCTGGTGAACAGGAATGAAATGAGATTTTTGTCTTGTGTCTCGTTCCGTCTCAAAACGATGAGACTGGGACAAAATGTCCCGTTTTCTTTTCTTTTTTTAAAAAAAATATAATTTTTGGTAATAATTTTTTTATGTTATAATATTTCTTTTTTATTGGGTTTCTAAAAATAAAAACATTATAAAAAATATTATGTAGAAAGCTCAATTATGTAATGTAAGTACAATATTTAAAAAAAATATTGTAAAAGAAATACTGTATAATGACTTTATGACTTATTTTATTGAGAAAAGAGATTTTTTTAAAGACAACATTATAAGATAAGAGTGAGAATCTCTATAAAAAATCATTATTATTAATAAGTGAATCAAATAATCTAATAATAATTATTAGTAAATAAATTTTTTAAAAAATATTCTGGGACAGGATGGGATGAGACAATCGTCGCGCGTCCCGTCCTATCTCAATTCCCAAATTGACTGGAACCAGGACAGGACAAGTCAAACACCTTTACCCATACCAAATCACACGCATTTCCCTATCCCATGCCTCTCCTCATTACATGCATATGCACACATATGATAAAGCAAATCGCAGGCCTTTCTAACTTTCCTAATGTCAAAAAGTGATGAACTATATTCCATTTTCATTGTCATTTCGCGAGAGAGAATATGGATTGTTTTTCCTCTAAAAGTTTTTACGGAAAAGTTATGTATACTGAAAAGTTTTTTTTTTTTTTTAGAAAATAAATCTTGCTTCAGAAATATTAAAGAAAAGTAATGTTATCCAACCCCAATAACAGCCAAACGAACATTGGTTCATGTTGAACTTTATGTCACGTATGATTTCATGTATCTATGACAATGCTTTCCCTTTTAATTAATTATTATCCTGAAAGTATTAAAAAAATAAGCTTAAAGTTTAATTATAAATAATCGGCTGAGCTATGGAGAGGAGATATCAAATCACTTTTTTGAATGACTCATTCTCTACGATATATTTGCAACCCATGTGATCATCTTGAAAATAAGAGAAAATCATATAAAAATTTTCTAGACTTCAAATTTGTACAAGTGATCTTCTCCGTCTTTAAAATTTAACAATAAGCACGCTATATTTTCAAGCCTATGCAGATAAAATTAAGACATCATTTTTATATCTCCTTAAACTTTATTTTTTATTTACATATAATATCCTAAAACTAAAACTTACATGCATAGAACTCTTTAATTAAACATGAAGTCATCTGTAAATAAATAATTAAAAAATAATAGTATGAAAGTTTTGTGCATAAATGTAAAAGTTGAGAGAGGTTTATTGTAAACTTCTAAAAATTAGGGAGGCTTTTCATTAAAAAAAGTTAGAAAAATTATTTACACATGACATGATTTAGTAGGCTTGTATATTTTAATGTGAAAGAATGAGAAGATGACACCGAAAGACCTTGGTCAATTCGTAATCCAAAATAATGAGTATTTTTGGATTGTCGAAAGATTACAGGACTCTCAATCTCACCTCATCATTGAGTGGAACATTGACAAACAATTACCATTGTTATAATTGAAAGAGACTGAAATTTATTTATCTAGCTGGAAAATTCAGTTAAAATTTTTTTTCAAAAGTTGAGTTAAATTAAGGTATCTTTAGCTATTGTTATTTTCTCCCTACATGATCTCAAATCTTTGATAAAAGCATGCTTATCATAGACGAGTTAATTAGAATTTAATTCTAAAAAATCATGCAATGTTTTAATATGATTGATTTGTTGATCTTCATGTTGAAAGAGAGGGGGGAAAACTATGAAACTGATATACTCTCTTGATTTTGCTCGGTTTCTTTAGATGATTTTTATTTGTTTATTTTCCTTTGTGAGGTAGAGTAGTATTTACAGTTTTCTTTCTTGTCAAAAAAGGGGCGATTCGGGCCACCTCCATCGTGAAAGTTCTCCCTCCTTTCGTACTTTTACAGGTTTTGCCAAAAGGTCTGAATTCATTTATCTTTTAATCTTGGTTTATTTTCCTATCAACTTGCAGGGTCATTTCAAA